CTCTAAATCCCTTTAAACTCCTTAGAGAAAGCACATTTGTTTTCCCAGTCTGTATATTTGTCTTTTTCCTCTGACAAGTATGCAGAAAACTGCCTAGGTGAATGCATGACCTTACAATATAATCACTCACATTAAATCTTTTAAAAAATATTTAAACTCCCCTTGACAATAGCACTTTTCCTCTTAGTCTAAAAGTATAACATGCCTTTTCAGTCCTACACCTGACAATTAATAAAACCACAGAGCTAATCTGATAAGAGAAAGAGAAGAATCATTTGAGGTCTTAAACTTAACTTTAGGAAATAAATTAAAAATAGTTTAAAAAAAGAAAAAGAAAAAGATGAGAAATAAGCAGTGAGTCAAAGAAAGAGCTCTGAAAATCAGACCATTACTCTGGTACATAAATATGGATCTGAAAGTCAATGAAAGTCAATGAAATGTTAGCAAGAATATTTTAAGTTCATTTAGCTTTAACAATCTAACCTTAACCTCCAGTTTATGCAAAAGTTTTGCTACATGTCATATGTGGAAGAACTTGGTTTTTTAGTATTTCTCAGCACTTGGTGGTCCACTTGGAAATAGCATAATTCATGGGCACTCAGTTTTCCTCAGAAGAAGGCCAAAGGTGTCTCAAATCATTGTTGCAAAAGGACATTCTGATTCTGAGTTTTAGGAGTCATTTACTTTGAACGGAAAATTATGGTTTTTCTTTTGACCATAACACCAGTGCAGCATTACTGTGGCAGTGGATGGGACTTGTTGGTACCTGAAGAGGATTTGAAGTCTGGTAGAGGAGTCTGGATGAGGCTGCGAAGCCACAGCACATATCCCACAAAGCAAATTCAGAATTCCCAATGTAAGCACAAATTCAAGTCATTTCCAAACCCCATTTTTCTCCACAAAACAATTTTGCCATACAAACTTACCAGGTATTTTTACACATATTTTTGCAAACAGATCTTCACAAACTTGATTATAACAGTTGTCAGTGCTCAAAAATTCCTGCAGATCATCATTCTATTAGCTGGAAAGCCCCTGTATGTAATAAGGTTCTGTAGACAATTTTGGGAAGGATTAGTCTACAACTTTATAAGAGTTTTTTAATTTGCTCACAAGCTTTAAATATCACTATTGAAAGAAACAAGGAGAGAATGGTAGAGAAAATTAATCTTTTTTCTTATTGTATATGTTGCAAGACACTGGAAGGAATAAGGGAAAGACTGAAGGAGGGTTTGGATTAAAGTGCATTTTCAAGGTTATATTAATGTAGGGGGAATTTTTACAATATACAAACATATAAAATACATGCCCAAACTTTCAAATCATCCTCCAAAATTGACATAACATGTCTAGATAGCTCTTTAAAAAGTTTGTGAAAGTTTGAGTATTATTGTTATACCATTTTTAGAGTAAAATTATGAGAAACTAAAGCTAAATCAAAACAAATCATGTGTGACCTCCACAAAAGCTAAATTGGAATCTGTACATTTATTTTTAAATGATTTTTGTTGGCTCCTATGATCTAGATGGGTGGTAGGCCAAGTTAAATCCCTCAACCCTAACTGAAACCCAATTAACTAAAATAAATTGTCAAATCACTCTAGAGAGGTGATCAGTATTATTTAATCTTCAAAGTTGAGTCTGTTGGCCAAAATACATATTCAAATACATATTCCACTAAGAGCATTTGCTTTCAAATCCACCTTTTTTCTAGTCAAAGTATTTCAGGTTGTAGAAAGATTCCTTCAATTTGGGAAACTGAAAATCTAGTCCCAGTGTTTGTACTGTTTCAGTCCAAGGCAAACAAAGAGTGACTGCTCCAAAACAACATGACCCATTTTTTTTCTCTTTGAAGGAGCTACTCTTTCCAGCCACATTGTTAGTTTTTCTCAAACATAATTGACAAAAGCCCTGGTCCTTCAACTTTCCTGTTCCACACACCACTTTAACTGCATCAGTGGAACCACAGAGATTCTGGGAAGTAGGGTTTATTTACTTTTCCATGCAGAGATTTTGATATTACCAAACTGAAGTGTTAAACACAGGCTTCCACTATCTTACCAACATGGATCTCTGTCTCCTCTCACTGCCTCTCCAGACCACTTCTGAATCCAGCTTTCTTGCTCTGCCTGGAGGTTCAGTTCTGTGATGAGCTACCAGGATCTGTGGGGCTCCCTTAAGATTCAAGTCTGGATGAACTCACTCGGAATTTGGGCATACGCATTACCTAACTCCTATCATATGATAGAATATTGCTAACAAAGAATAATGCAGGTTTTTGTTCTGCCCAGTATCTTCTTCTCTTGCCTTCCAACTTCGAAGTATGAATTCCTCCTTGCCAAGATGAATGGAAGTACAACTTTCTCTGTGTTATTTCTAGCAATCAAAGATTAAATGCCAGTATATCTCCTCAATATATTGAGGGTTTTTAAAGGTTTTTTATATTTTGTATCTTTAAAGGTTATTAAATTGAAAAATTTTAATATATGTAAATATTTTTCCTTGTGTCTATGATTATATTACCTTCTTTTTTATTTTAGCTCTAGTGTTATATTTACATGATAGACCCACAATGTTATGAGCAGAACCCAGCAGGTATTTTCATTGTTGTTTGGATTTTGGTTTGGTTTGGTTCATTTGTTTGGTTGGTTGTTTTTTTTTTTAGATACAAATAAGTTTCTATGATCCAAAACTACTATGTTAGTAGTATGTTAACTATGTTTGACTTATTTGGTTTATCTCTTTCATCTGTTAGGATGAGGAACCTATTTAGAACTAGAACTATTGCATGAGGCAGAGGGAAACCTGAGGATATTTTTTTCTGTGAGGATCTGCTCTTGGTCTTGCATTACTGACTGTATATAAGATTCATGGAGCACAAGGAAAAAAAAAATCAAAATATGGGTTTTAAAATAGTTCTATTCATTTGGTAAAAATATTGGCTTTGCATGGAGAAGGTGATATATGCTATCTAAGTATTGACATTAATATTGATTCAGACATACCCTAATAGACAAGATGAAATTCTGAAGGGAAAAAAAAAATAGGACAAAGTGTACAAATCACCTTAGGTTAATTTTGTTTGGTGAAATGTTTTATTTTTTTCTACTTTGGTTATCAATTTTTTTTCACCTAGATTTGTGAATGATTAAATAGCTTATTTCAAGTAAATGCCCATGTCTTCTGATTGTTCTCATCAGAGAAAAGAAGATGATAAAGAACAGCAGATCATCCTCAATTTCTATCAGTCACCACTTATCTAAAGATGAAGTTTTTATCTTCTCTCTTTAGGGACCAGAGACGGAGCTGAGATGACTGTCTTAATCTGGACTCAGGACTTTTAGCTGAATGTCGTTGAGATGAACCTTGTCTTTGGTTAAAAACACCAAAGCCCAATATCTGAATGGAGTACTGTCAGTGAGACTAGAATAAGTTTCACATGACAGCATTTGTGAATATGAGACTCTGTACTTAGGTGCATAGTCTTCTGATGAGCAGGCATTTAGGCACCAATTAGTAGAGTTTATTTCATCATATGTAATATAATCATCATATATACATTAATCATATGTAAATATAATGGCCAAGCACAGCAATAAAATTGTGCAAAATTTAAAAAAAAATAAAATTAACTCACCAATAAAAAATGAACATTGAGTTTCCAGAAGAAAGCTAAAACTTAAATTACAGACTGGAAAAGAACAATGTTGTCTTTAAAGAGAAGGATTTGACAGACTGCAAGGTCATAAAGTCAATGTGAAACAGAAGGATGCTCAAGGCCACCAAGGATAGCAATAAAATACTAGGGTTTGAAAGGCCTTAGAAGAAGTCCACATGGAAATAGAATGTCATATGTAACATAAAGCAAATGTAGTAAAGTATTATAGATGTCATTATCCATTTTTGGATAATGCTAAAATTCAGAGTTTCTCATTTTAATTACTGTTTTATTAATAAGTAAAGACACATCTTAAGCTGATATGTGATGTGGTAAGGGAAGGGACAGCTTCATTTAGCACGACTTGTTCTCTGCAGAGAACAAAAGCCTTTTGTTTTTATGATTAAATATTCTTTTTTTTTTTTTTTTTTGACAAAAGAAGCCAATTAATTGCACATATGTTGTATTCTGCCCACAAAACCCAAATGGCAAATGCTCTCTGGGCAGATACTTGATGCAATAGGAAGGAAGGGACTTCTATATTTGTAAAGACAGATGACTTCAGTGTCAACTGCAATTCAAAACAATTTTTCCAGAGATTGAAGGCAATCATGACTCAGGGAATGAAAAGATCTAAATCATCTAAAAGAATGTTACTTCTCAGATGAGATACGTAATGCAAGTATCTTGAAACAAAAGAATTCTCTTGTCTTTTAAAGTTTGTGTTTTAAAAAGTCAGTATCATTAAAAGCAAGAAAATAACTTATATTATCTTTTTATTTTGTCCATACTTCAGGTTAACAAGGTATGCTAATTCCCTGTCAGAAATATGAACGTCCACCTTTGTCTTCTAATAAAAAGATCTGACTTTATTGAAACCTACTTTTTACTCCCTAAGAAAACAATTTTTTTATTATATTTACTAGCTTCTTGATTTTCCTCTAAGACATTAATGAACAATATTTATAAGATTTACCTGTTATGGTTAAAAGAGGCAGAGTCAGAATGTTAAGACTTAGTAGATCTGATGGTGCATGGCACAAACAAGAGACACCCCAAATAATTTCAAATATTTTAAGACTAGAAATTAGGTTTTTTACCACGTGTAAGGGTGGAAGATAAGCTTCCACCTATAGGTGGAATTTCATAAGTGTGAGTGGTGAGCAGTTGCATTGTAAATCACTTGCTTTGTGAATGTGTATATTTATATTATTGTTATTGTTATTATTATTATTATTATCCATTTCTTTTCTGTTTTTGTTTGTTTGTTTGTTTGTTTTTCTGTTTTTAAGTCAACCCATGAGTTCTATCTTTTTTTTTTTTTTTTTTTTTTTTTTTTTTCCAGTTCTCTCCCACCTCCTAGTGCAGGGGGAGTGAGCAAATGACTGCGGTGTTTAGCTGCCTGTTGGGTTAAATCACAACATTGGCTCAGTTACTTTCTTCTGAACCTCACATTGGTAAGCATTGACTTGTCTACTAAAAACAACAAAAGGAATGTATTAATTACCTATTATGTGCATTTGTTCAGGACATAATTGTTATTAAAAATATGCATGCTCTCTACTATCTATTGAAGAAAAAAAGTCCAAAACCAGATTGAAATGAGAAGGAAAAGAAGGGTATTTTTCTGTGCCAGGTTTGAATGATATGTAAGGCAATGCTATTCAAAGTGCCAGCAGCATATGCCAGCTTCAATTAGAACGCAAAAGGAAAATCTGTTGCTAAAATATAACAGCACACTTTGAGGATCTTATATATGCTTATTCTGAATGTAGAGGGATGAATATCCTTACAAAATTCTAAGTTTTGACATTTCATTGAAGCTGTTGTTAAGTATTGGCCTTATTGTAGGATCCTCTGATGAAATACTGTGGCCCGTGCTTTACAGAAGTTCAGAATAGATTATCATAATGATCATTTCTGGCCTAAGAACCTTTCTGTCTAAGAAAGTATTCATTAAAGTTATTACATCTTGTCCTTCTGTGTCACCTTTCCCAGACAACTGCCTGCAGCAAGAATGAGATGGCTGCATTTTAAGTAAATATCCAAGTGGGCTACTGTGCTCCCTGCCACCCTGCCATGCTGGAAAGACAGGGAAGTGCAAAATGCTTTGCTCCAGAGAGTCTGAGGTTGGCCCGTATGACATAGCCTGAATCACACCAGGAAAAGAAGGTTTCTGCTGTTCTTTCCAGTTCTGTTAGTCGGCTCCCATAGTGTTCGTAAAACACATCACGGTGTGATCTACAGGATAAACTGGTGTATGACAGTCTCACATGAAACCCTTGAGCTGCTTTTTCAGCCAAGTACAGTTCAGAATCCTTTATTCTATGAGCCCCTCACTTCCTTTGTTGTTTTTTTTTTTCCTTTTTTTTTTTTTTTTCCTTTTTGCTGCAATTGGTCATGAACCACAACCCACGCCTTTGAAGATTTACTCTTTCACAGTCCCAATGTACTGAACAGAGTAGGCTTGGAATAAGCTCAAAGTTCTTATTTATGATCAGTACCTGCTACCCATGATACTTTCTAGGAAAAAGTTTGGCTGGTCTCCATAGCCCCTGTAAGTTACAGTGACTGACAGCTATCATGGACTGCAGTCCATTATGGAGTCTATAATAAATAGAAGTCCATCTTAAACATAGATCTTTTATTTTCCAATCACATGGAGAAGAAGGTGATCAGGAATAGTCTGCATGGGGAAGTCAGGAATAGTCTGTATGGGGAAGTCAGGAATAGTCTGCATGGGGAAGTCATGCTTGACCAGCATGATAGCCTTCTATGATGGAATGACTAGCCAAGTAGATGATGGGAGAGCAGTGGATGTTGTCTTGATTTCAATAAGGCTTTTAACACTGTCTCCCATAACATATGCATAAGCAAGTTCAGGAAATGTGGGGTGGATAAGTGGCCACTGAGGTCGTTTGCAAAGTGGGTGGATGGTAGAGCTTGGAGGGTTGTGATCAGCAGTGCTGTCTAGTTGGAAGCCTGTAGCTAGTGGTGTCCTCCAGGGGTCAGTACTGGGTCCAGTCCTATTCAGTTTATTCATCAGTGGACCTGGATGATGTGTCAGAGGGCCCCCTCAGCAAGTTTGCGGATGACACAAAAATGAGAAGAGTGGCTGATACCCCTGAGGGCTGTGCTACCGTTCAGAGAAACCTGGACAGGCTGGAGAGTTGGGCAGTGAGGAACCCCTTGAAATTCAACAAAGACAAATGCAAGGTCCTGTGCCTAGAGAGGAATAACCCCATGCCCACTACGGACTGGGGGCTGACCTGCTGGAGCGCAGCTTTGTAGAGAAGGACCTGTGGGTCCTGGTGGACAGCAGGTTAACCATGAGCTAGCAATGTGCCCTTGTGGCCGAGAAGGCCATTGAAGTGTATTAGTCAGAGTGTTGCCAGCAGGTCAAGGCAAGTGATCCTCCCCTTCTACTCAGCCCTGGTAAGGCCACACTTGTATCCAGTTCTAGGCTCCCCAGTATAATAGGGATGTGGAGCTCCTGGAGCAAGTCCAGCAAAGGGGCGAAGGGCTACAAAGATGATTAGGGTACTGGAGCACCTGTCACAGAAGGAGAGGCTGAGAGAGCTGGGCCTGTTTAGTCTGGACAAGAGAAGACTGAAGGGGGATCTTCTCAATTTATACAAATATCTGAGGGGAGGGTGTCAAGAAGATGGGGCTGGACTCTTTTCAGTGGTGTCCAATGACAGGACAAGAGGCAATAGACACAAACTGAAACACAGGAAGTTCCAGCTGAATATGAGAAAACATTTATTTACTGTAAGGGAGAGAGAGCACTGGAGCAGGTTGCCCAGAGAGGTTATGGAGTCCCCTTCTTTGAAGAAGGAGAAGTTGCAATCTTGTGTAATGTACTCCAGGAGTCCCTGCTTGGCAACAGTGTTGGACCAGATGATCTCCAGAAGTCCCTTCCAATTTCAACCCTTCTGTAATGCTGTGATTCTATGATTCTGTCATTTCTTGTAAAATACACACTAGCCAATTACAGCTTTCTCTATGGTACAGTTAAATTATGTGTTGGCTTTATAGTTATTCCAAGGTTAGGATTCTGTTCCAGAATTTCAGCATCTTTTTCACTTAGCTCTACTTGGCCACAGTCAGAAGTAGCTACAAATGCAAAGAAAGAACCAGATCCTGTTTCTAACATCAATGTCAACTTCTGAGACAAAATTCCTACTTCACTGACTACTAGGGTTTGCACCTTCTCACCTTTATCTTGCCTTCCATACTGCTGCCTTCCTGACAGATCTCATCTGTTAGAAACAGACCAAAAGAGCCTCAGAGGTGAAATAGAGAGGGATGTTCTGGTCTCTTCTCCCTGGTAACCAATAAGATGTGTGGCAATGGCAAAAAGGACTAGGGGAGGTTCATACTAGTTATTAAGGAAAATTTATTTACCATGAGAGAGGTCAAACACTGTAACAGGCTTCCTAGGAAGATTGTTGATGCCCTGTGCCTGTCAGTGCTCAAGACACTTTTGGATAATTCCCTAATTAAAATGCTTTAACTTTTGGTTAGCCCTGAAGAGGTCAGGCAGTTGAACTCAATGATCATTGTAAGTCCCTTCCAACTGAACTATTTATTCTAGTCTAGTCTAGTCTAATCTGCTCCCTTCTTCTGATTTTTCCACCTCTAACCTCTTCGCTGCATGCTGTAGTATTTCCTGATCTCCTTCATACTGTCCCAGACACTCTATTCTCTTCCTCTTCTTTTTATTCTCTTTTCCTCAGCATCATTCCTGTCTTTTCCCACTCAATATAAGCATACTTTAGTCATTCACATCTCTATAAACTGCATTTTTTCCATAGCCATCTTCAGTTGTTGATCCTTTCCATCACTAACTCATTTTCTTACTGTCCCATCTTAGATCATCTTCAATCTGTCTTGTCTATCTTGAAAGCTAGATAAACATGAGCTCTTACTAACCTCTCCATGTCAAATCCCAGGATTCTACCTTTCCATTCTGACATAGGTGATCACGTTCCTTCCTTGTCTTCTGTTGCTTTCACCTCTCCAGCTTCTCCCTTTACCTCTCCAACAGTTTCTGGACAGTTGGCCTTTGCTGATTCTCTTATTTTCCCTTCATCTTTCCATGGATTCACAAAGTAATAAAATTCAAAACACAACTTTCTTATATTAAGCATTTATTTATCAATTTGAGCAGAATAATAGCACATCTTTTTTCTTGAGCTAAAAACATTAAGTTCCTGTCAGAATGCATGAAATTCTCCCTTCCCCCCGCCCCCCCTATTTTTGTCCAGTTCTGTGATACACTTTTTCTATCTTTACACTTTTCTGTGTACATTTAGAAGGCTTCTGTTAACAACTGGTAAATCTCAATAACACTTCTCTGTGTCTCAGTTAATACAAAAGTATTTTGTTAACTGTTGAATTGTTCCAGTGCAGTCTACTGTCTTGAGACAGTGCAACTTAGAAACTGTGGTCATTAAGACAAAGCAAAAACAACTTCTTCATCTTTGACATGAGTCAAAATATACCCTCCCTCCTACAGAAAGAATGCTCCCTTGATAGCCAGTACTGTCCTTTTATAACTAAAGAATACAGAAAAACAAGGCAAAATGCCATTTGTTTTTAAAAGGTCCCAGAGTAATAAAAGTTGTCTTTGTTATCACCTTCCTGTGCAATATAGGGAAATTTTCAGAAGGTTACCACCATTTACTCTTAATAATTAAAAAATCTACAAGATAAAAGTCGTGTTTTTAGTAAGTTGTTATATTTTTTCTCCTGAAAAAGTTTTTAAATGTTTCAGGTGTCTGGACTTTTGTTTCTAAGACTTTGTTTTAGCACAAAATTACTGTTATCATTCTGATCCTGATGAGCAGAGCCTCATACTTACCTGCTAACCTTCCAAGCACAGCTTAACAATCTACTGAGTATTACATATGAGGAAAATGTTAGTGGGAGTAAAAACAGAACCTAGATATTCCTGCCTGAATATACACTTGAATATCTTTAGCTAGAGTTCACTTGAAAAGCTCAGTAAAATATGATTTAGAGTGAAAAATGGGATATGAAGCTATCTCACTCCCAGATCTCTGATAGACATAGAAGACAAAGCTTTTTGGATTATTGCTTTTCCACACACAGCCTTAACATCTATTGAGCAGAAGCTGCGTTACCCGATCTATGGAAAAATAGATGTGGTCTTTGTTAGTCTATCTTCTTTCTCTCTGTGTCAGTAGTTGTAGTACTTTTCCACCTTTCACCCATGCAGAAGCTAGAGAATGAATACAGGCACACAAAAAAAAAAAAAAAAAAAAAAAAAAAAAAAAAAAAAAAAGAGAGAGAGAAAAAAAACACCAGAGAGAACAGAGAGGATAATGGAAATGAATTTCCCTTGAAGGGCCTTTGGGCCTTTCCCTTTCCCTTGAAGGGCTCCTCTGTAGCCCTTCAATATCTTCTCTCCAGCTGCAGGGCTTTTGCCTAGGAAGGCAGAATAGAGGTTGCAACAGAGGGAGAAATTGCCCCAGTAACATTATACCAAACCACACATTAAAATATCAGTCATCAGTTGTCTGAAAGGTACAAAATTTTGAATTTTGAATAATTAAGAAAAAAACATCTGTTTTGGACCAGGATAAATTGTCCCATTTATAAGTAAGAAAAGCACTTTATGATTTAAAGCGTTTTAAATGTTTTTTATTAGAGATAACTTTATAAGAAGAGCACAGATAATTTTATGTACCTTTAGGTGCTGGGTGCCCCAAGCAGTGTAGCTTCAAACAGGGCTCCCACCCACATGCACTATGCCATGCAGACCCCATGCATAGTAGAGATACTCTTTCTACATGGCACAGAATTGTATTTTTAGAATATTGCTCTATAAAGGTTACGGAATTCTACAAAATCAACCAAATGTCATAGGAAATCATGCTGTAGCACCAGGATGATTCTCAGGGTTTAGGATGATTATTTTTATTCACACTCTGATAGACTGCTCTGCAGCCAAGAGACAGTATGTTAGAAAACTATGAAGATGGACATAAATAAGCCAACAGAATGCACATGTGTGTCACGCTATGTCCTAATACCACAAAATATTTTGCCCGAATTAGACACAATTAGAAATTCTGTTAGGACAGAAGACAGCACAGTGAAGCAGTGTTGTCAAAGTTAGCAGATATCCTTCTAGTATTTATTTCACATGAATTAAAGCTGTTAATCCTTCCCTTTTGGGAACATCTAATTTTCCCAGAAAAAAAAAAAAAGGATGGGGGGGGGGGGGAGGGAAGGCATGGGCAAGAAACAGTCAGTTGTCTAAGTCCTTTAATAAGGGTTACTGAGCTACATTGTTAAAAGACTACAGTGACTTACTCTCTTCCAGAAGAAAATATGTGGGATGAATTAAGACACTCCCTCGCTGAAGTGGCTTCAAGGACAGAACACTTTTGTGTCATTCATACTGAACACTGAGTGGAAATTTAACCTACCACTTTTTTCTTTAAATTTGTAAGTAAATTTCCATCATGTTTTTGGTTACGAGAAATAAAAGAAGCAATCTGGAGATGCTCAATGAAGTGAAGTTTGCCACAAAACATCAGAAGTCTCTCTACATTTGCTCTACATTGTTATGAGAGGGGAGTGGGCAGTTAGTTCATCAGCAGGCTCAGTACTAAGAGAAGGAAGGTGATGGAGGCCATAGACAGAAAAAGCCAGTGAAATAGAAATAGCCTTTGAACACATTAAAAACTAACAGTTTTATAGTTCTTAGGGAACAAACAAACAAACAAGCAAACTATCTTTTCATAAAATACGAGGGGAAGCAATGGGGAGAAAAAGGTTTATTGCAATTATTGTTTTAATATTAAATGCTCAAAAAATAAAAGAGTAATGAAATACCAGAAAATAAATATGAGTAGCAACCTAAATTTGACACTGCAATCGGTATGTAAATAAATTTTAACCTAATGAAAGCTTTTGAAATTTCAAAGAGAATCCAGGCTGAGTAGAAACACAAAAAATAGGTTTGAAAATTTTAATGAAAAAAAAACTTCTGGAAAAAATATCAGTGGGTTGACCGAAATATTTTATTAAAATAATATATAATATATTTTTTCATTTCTCACTTTCTTTCTGTTTTTAAACAAGAATAGTTTAGAACCAAATAAAAACCTAAAATTAAAAAAAAAAAAAAAATGAGTGAAGACACTGAAATTTCATGATTTAAATATAGTTTTCATCTGCAGCTTAGCAGCTTGTTTAATAAATAAATAAATAAATAAATAAATTTTATGATTCAGACATATACTTCTTTTTTTTTTTACAGGTTGAAATGCATCCTATACCATGAAGTTGAGGTCCAGAATGATTCGAGCAGAATATTTTTGTATAAATCAAATTACTTCAATAGACAGCACACTGAAATGAAAATAGAAAAATACACTTTTTAAAGGCCAGAGGGCTGTGAAAACTATTAGCTCTTTTTTGAAGGTGACTTTCAATAAAAGAACCATGTCATAAGCAACAGGAGAGATCCTGCCATTTGTTGTAATTTTGCTATAGTCCATTTCCATTGACAACTCAGTAATATAAAATTCATTATAAACCTACTATAATGTACAAGCTAAATCACAGAAATATTTAAACATCACAGAAAAGAACCACCTGTATTAATTAAAATAGGAAAATCAGATAGGGACAGAATATGTATACAGAAAACACAGAACAGTGGTCATTGATTTTAGTGATCAAAGGAAAAATCGATAGATTAATGCATTTTATTCTCAGAGATAAAAAACATTTTGTGAGTCTTCCATTTAATAATAGTGCTCTAAAATCCAAGGGCCACCAATATAAATGACCTTTTCTTTCCAAAGAAATGATTAAAAATGGGTCTGTGGATTGTAAAGATCATCCATCTGAACTTCATTTCATCTGCTATCATGCTGTCGTGTCATATCCTACACATGGTAGGAAAAAAAAAAAAAAAACATGAAAAAAAAATTCTTTTTATGGTAGAAAAAAAAAAAAAAAACCATGAAAAAAATCAAAAACGTTTAGTTCTGCCTGTGTTCTGCCTTGCATGTGCAGAGTTAGGATGACATATTCCTGAGGACTGTGGGCTATTTTATATGAGCTAAGTGAAGAAGTCTTCTAGATATAGCATAGTATTGCCATCATCTTGTCTGAATCAGGAAAGTGATACTTTCATCCATATATCCTGTTTTTCTAGCCCTATTTCCTTTCATAAGCCTGTAATTCATATAAATAAGGAGATGAAAAGGACAATGTTATTTTTAAATGATGCTAAATATATTCATCAACAACTCTCATTGGTGTCTCTTTTTCTGTACATCCTCAGAAGATCACAAGTAGCACACAGAGCAAGTGATATGGAATCTTGCTGGGGAAAATTGTGTCAAAATTTGGCTCTTATAAGTGTTAAAATATTATCACATTGCTAATGTATACATCTAACTTCACACTTTTTAGAGTGCTTTAGGATATATATGAAGGCAACATTTAGAGTAGGAAAGGAAATCCAAGCCTAAATATTAGGCTATCCAACATGAATATAGATTTTGGAAGTAAATATTTTCATTCCTTTTCTGTTCAAATGATACATCTTTCCAACTAACATCCTGTGAGGTTAATTATATTCCTGGTGAAACAAAAGCATAAATATTACAGGTAAATTCACAAAATAATAGAGGACTGTCATGTACTGGGTTCTCTGTGAAGTACCCTGTGGGCTGGGTGATCCATTCTATATTATCTTCTCAACTAAGCATTGGAAGAAAAAAGAGATGAACTTACTAGAACCTTAAGTCAATGCTGCCTAAAGGTCAATGACTAGGAAAGAAAGAGAAACTGTAAAAAATAACATAGAAGGACTGAACCAATAATATTAAAGGAGTAAAATGGATACATCTGCTTAAAGTAGAAGCTTTTAAGTGAAAAATATGAAGTCATCCCAGACTAGAATCAAAGAAAAATTTCCTTTGATGTGTAACATTTCAGAGGTAGGGAGATATTTAGAAAACATTAGTACTGAAAAAACAGGGGTCAGATATAACAATGAATGGAAGAATTTGTGAAAGAACATGCAATGAAGACCAATTTAATTCTGGGCTGCTTAAAGAAAACCCTGCTACCATGATTCCTGCATGAAGGTAGTTCATACTGACTACAGAGCACCACAAAAGCACTAGGAAGCCATACCAGTACAAACAGCAGGCATGATATAACTGTGATTAAAAAAATGAAAGAAAACATTTAGTCCATGTATCATGCTGAATTGAATAGTGAAACAGAGGCTTGGAAGAGCACATATGTGAGGGGAAAAAATAAAATTAAAAAAAAATCCCTTTTAGTAGGTCCTCCAGCTACTTCTTAACATCTCTGGGCAGGGTTGTCCTTTCTATGTGTAGCTTTATAATTATATTTTCTCCTGGTTTTGGTTCTTAAAGTCAGTCTTCCTAACAGTTCAAGTTTGTTCAATGAAGAAAGAATATCCCCCTGTTCCACTATTATTTCCATATTTTTCACCTTTTTATTAATTTTCAAAGTGTTATTTTCAAAATTTTCCTTTTACACATAATATTACTTCAAAATCTGCTGGAAAGGAGGTATGCTATGTGTGCTTTCACTCCTATTTGGGATGAAAGTAAGAGAGAACTACATTGGCTTTAGTCATTAAGCTGTATTAGGATCTGAAGTAACCATCTGACCAAGTGATCCATAGTTTCAACCACTGAAAACAAGGGTGAACAAATCAATAGAAGTTGGAGTTCTCAAAAAAAATAAATATGAAGAATAAAAAATAACAGAGGGAGACTGTTATAATCATAAACTTTTTCTTTATTTCTTTCTTTGATTTCACAGGTATTTTTCTTTCTAAACTGAAGTGGTGGAGGTAATGACATACTTGATGTGTGACTTCAGAAGCCATTGCATTCAGATTCAGAAAGCAAATATTCAGTGTTGATGAGAAAATAACCTCTTTTCTTTTGACTAGCTGTCATTGGATGACTTCACAAATTTTATCACAAGAGGAGCTGCATGAAAGATAGAAGACTTCAATTTGCCAATAATTAATATATTTGGAAATATGGCTTAATTCCAGATGGAAAGGAAACTGAAGTTTTCAAAATTAGATCTGAAAAAAAGTCTGGAAGAGGCAGGACAGAAAAGGGATACATTTTTCTAGTCATTACAATAATTTTATTTCAGTGTTCAACTTTGAAATTTAAAATTGTTATAAAAATGAAACAGGATTTTAAAATGAAAACAGTCTAGTAAAACAATAACCGTAAATCTTTCATGAAAAAATCAAAAATGATTTATTCTGACACTGCTGAAACTTTGTCCCTGTTCTTTTTAAAGCGAAAGCCCAGCCAAAAATACCTTATTTCATTAAGTAACTGGATTTCAACAGAATGACATAAGATGAAGGAATAAAGTTCTATCTAAGTCTCTCTCAGCTTGTATAATAAGTCTTGACTAATAGGATTCCCAAAGCAAACATAGATAAACCCCCAACAGCTGCCCTATATAATTATCTGATGGCCATTTTGAAATTTAACTTCCCTGCATATTATTTTTTTATTATTATTATTATTTTTTATTTAGAGATTACGAAGTGCAGAATTGGAAATTTGATATCTATATCACTCGGTGATGTGAAATAAATATATTAAAGTCTATCTGGTTGCACTGTAGCAAGCTCTAGTGGTAATAATGTGAAAAAATCTATAAAGGAAAAACATAAATGCAAGATCTAAACAGTAATCTGTGCTATAGCATAATCCAGCATTAATTTAACCCTCCTTATCACTATAATATAGAAATGTATTATTTTTCAAGAGTAGCATTCAAACCCTAAAATTTGTGGTAGCTTATTTAGAACCAGTATATGACACTGAACCTAAGTCTATGATAACATCTGCAATTAAAAAACACCTGTTGTACATTTAAACTATTAAATATAGCCCTAAATTTGGCCCAGTATGTCAAGCAAAATTCTGTTTATAAATATGCATAACATCTCTAAAATACTATTCTACAGTTACCTGTACAGTGGAGTCTTTTCAAATTTCTGGTTTTATTGTGTTTTGTTTTATGAATTTCAGTTACCTGGTTCCAGCTAAATGAGCAGTTATCCTCCTTTAAAAAACCTGCTGGGTTTTCTTCCCCATACTCCTTTTATTTGTGCCTATAACAAACAACTCCCCATCAGTGTGGCAATTTTTAAAAGTATATTGCATTTCAACACAGAAGCCCAAAGTATGCGGTTTTCTTCCTGATATGACTTTTATTCCCTTTCCATATAGAATGTGCTCCACAGGCAGTCACCAACAAAGAGGTTCTCTTCATAACATGATTCCTCCTTCATAACATGATTCCTCCTAGTGTGTTGTATCCATTGCTGCAATAAAAAGAGTGTTTTTATGTCTTTATTGTTTTAGGGAAAATGTGCCAATAGTGTGGATGCACTGCAGATAACTTTGTGACTGGACATAGTTGTCCTCTCAACATATGCCATGACGGTCCCATAACTGAGCTGCAGGCAACTTCAGTACCTCTCTGGCCTGCTAACATAGGAGGGTTTTGCTATGTTACCTATGGAAGGAATTAACAGAGGAAAACCTGCACAGTACTGACATGGGCTTGATGCACAGTGTGAACATAGTCCCTTGTGGTGCCTTATACCCCAGTGCAGTGTGATAAAGGGAACATTCCACCACTGTATTGCAATGCTTCATGAGAGGGGGCTCACGAGCCCAGGGAACCCTCTATGACACCCAACAACAGATCTTAAAAAGAATTTAATCATTATGCCTGATAGGGTATATCTATGCATGACCCTCGCTAGGCTAGGTTGAGATTCAGAAGGAAGTTCAAGAATCAGCATTTTGGACTTAGGTGCCACTTGCAAACACCTAGCCTATGTATATGTCTGTCTATCTGGGTTTACATCCTGACATAAAGTGGACATTTTCATCAATAAATCTGCTGCCATCCTTCTGAGGACAACATGAAAATGACTGACCTTAATATATATGTATTGAGAGGACCTAGCTTCTGAAAGCAAGTAGGTCTAAGATGGCTGAAGTAGAGATGAACATATAGAAGAGAGGACATGGTGGACACAGAAGACATAGAGGAGAAGTTTTCACACAGCAGGGATGCTTAGGAAGCCTTTATCAGGAAGGTGCCTACCACTTTAGGAAGCCTGTGTTCCTTGGTGTCTATTTATGGTATGTGGCTGTCTATATAATTCATTAAGATCCCACTTTTGGTATTATTAAACCTTAGAATTCCTTCATCTGAAAAGCTTTTCAATGGAAAACAGTAGCGTTTTATGGGGTTCGTTTGTTCTACTTTCTGCCTCCACATCTGTAAAATATTTAATGGAGCTGTTTTGTGGTGTGTCTCAAAATTAAAACTTCATAAGACATCTATCAATAGTATCTCCTGGAAATTATGGTTCAAACACTTTTGTGCTCACCTGTGTTCACCAGTGCTCACCAAAGCCTTTTACTGCACTTCATTTCCCTAGACAGCTTACACTGATTCCCACCATAATTTTTCACACATACATACAGACACACACAAAATAAACACAAAGCAGCAGTCATGCTAGAAATTTCAAACAATACATTTTTGATAACTTTTTAGCTTAACTTTTATGTTGATTCTATATTTCTTTTTCTTTTCTTTGCACAGATTATTGTGTGGACAAAATATTGATATCAAAAGAGATTCTGCAATAGAATTTGTTGTAGGTATTGGTTTATAATGGAGAAGTAAGATAAATTAAATTATTCTTTTGAGATGCATATTACATTAACTGTTGAATTACTCGAGTTTAAATGTTTATTTTGAAAATAAATTTGGATAGATGGTGGTCTTTTCAAATTTAAAGTTCAAAAAGAGAAACTGTAGGTTTTAATGTAAAAAAATATATCAAAGGTAACATACATTAATTTTCAGAAAGGTTAGGAAAAGTTAGCAAGGAACATCCTAAATTAGAGAATAGGCACAACAGAATTGTGAAATAACATTTACTGTGCCTTAGTGCAAGAAATGTTCTTTAACACTTCATACTATTTCTGACTGCCTTTTGTGAAATACTTCTGGGAAAACAATTAACTAGTATAATTTTACCTTCTGTATGTCTTACCACAAGATATATTAAATGTATTGAAAGTGATTCATGGTGATGCATTGGACTTCATTATAAGTAAATGGTCAATATCTTCATCTTACTTGCATGAAAAACCTTGTTTCACTGGCATGAAGGTAATTGTGTTCTA